CAATGGACAGATTGTGTTTCCCACAAAGTCCCTTGGTACCTTCTAAGGAGGGACCCTTTTCACCCCTAAAAGCCATGCTCATGAGGTACTTGGCCTCTGGGTTTGTAAACAACAGCATCAATGGTGTTTATGAACTCCTAACTGCAATAATCGTTTTTGTTGTCTTCGAGAGAGATCGGCAGAACTAGCAAGCATCAAGACTGGGTCATGGTTGTAGGAACCTGCTCGCTGGGCGGCACGGTTCCATTTTGGCTTAAGCCTGGAAGGACTGAACGTCAATGGTGTTTGCCCGTCTCAGTGGATAGTGTGGGTGCATTTACATCCGTGACGAGAAAAGAAAGACGGAAAGAAGGAAAGAAGGAAGGACGAAAGGAAACACAGAACACAATGAAATAAATCAATATAGAAAGGAAAGGAAGACAGAACCATATTAAACAAAAGAAGAAAGGTAGACACATAGAAAGCCCAGAACGAAGAACGATGTCCTCCAGGGCACTGGACCTTACAGGGAATGCTACTCAAGCATCGGTGCTAGACGGACCCCTGGAAATAGGAGGCTGATCTACGCTGGAAAAGACTGGCTGTGATGGAAAATGCCGAGTTTGGTTCCCAACACAAAGAAAGAAAGCACATCAGCAAAGACAGAAAGACAGAATTGACGGACGGACGGAAGCAAGGAAGGAAGGACAGAACAGAACAGAACAGAACAGAACAGAGCAGAGCAGAGCAGAGCAGAACAGAATAAAAGACATAAATAAAGAACAAATATAATTAGCGAAATAAATACAGAAAGACAGAACACCAGTAGTTCTTTCTTGTATTATGCCCTGTGTTTCCTTCAACTCCTTAACACAAAGCAACAGTTCCCAACCGCAAACCAGCCAATAGAACAACAAACTACAATCAAGAAATGCTAGACCATTGTAAACCAGCAGATTTCCTGTTTGATCCAGAGCTTCGGAAATCCTTTCAGAGCTAGTTGGCAACAACAGCTCGTCCCCCCAAAACAAGCGAAGAGGCTATGGTATCAAATAGGGCGCTTGCAGATCCGCACGGCGCGGCCAAGGAAGTTGAATTGGCAATTGGCCCTATATGCTTGTTTGCTACTCTCACTTGGAAGGACCCAGAAATATCAAATGCCGTTGACTTTTGGTGCCCTGTCTCAAAATGGACCAACATTGCAAAAGCAAAAGGTTTTCCAAGCTCGGCTCGCTCGGGGCAACTGGCCCCTTCGGGTCTTGAGCCTTGACAAAATTGCGCTAATCTCTGGCCAGGTGCCACCACTGCGACGAGCCCGGAGTTCATGGTCTGGCGCTTCGAGTCAACCCCCTGGTTACACAAGGTAACGGTGACGTGAGCGGCGCAAGAGATTTGCAGGTTGTATCAGGTTGTCATCTGCAAAGGAAATGACGCAGAAGTCAAGCGGGATGTGCGTCGAATCTGAAACCATGACAAATACTCGCGCGTCGCTAACGTCGGCGCTAGCTGATACCATCTGCAACTAATGTGCCAAAATACATGGCACATCATATTATCTTTTTGGGGGTGGGCGTCATCCTTTGAACCAATCATGCGAGGCCTTTTGCTTTCCCCTAGGCAGCCAGGGCCTGGTTGTTTGAACACAATTTGCCCAACCCTGGTGATCTCTCTCTTCTGAAGTCGCCCCCACAGCAGCATCGTCAAGGGTCTCTTTACATTCTCGGATACAGCAGACTAAGCGGTGCAGTGGAGGCAGCCTAGAGGGTAAGCTGCATACTTCTGAGGCAGAATGGCGCCAAGATGAGGGATCTGCAATTCAGCATTCAGAGCAGTGCCAAGGTGACTAAGGGGAAAGGCATGACACCACGACGAAAGGTGCTTTGGGGAAATATGTACAAGCTTCAAACCGAGAAGAAAGCCAGCATGGCGGCGTCACAAGAACCCTTGCGAGCATTTCTCTCCGGTGTCCAACTTGGTTGAAGGAAGAAAGCAGCTGTTGGACACTGCAATCCCTGCAACTATGGCGAGGGTGTGTCTTCTTTCATTTCGCATCAGTTTATATTGGGAACGTCGTAGATGCGTGACCTTGAGGTATCACTTGTTATCATCCAAACACGCGTGTGAGTCAAGGTGTTGCCTTAATGGCCGTCAAGGATAGATATCGAGATCTCCCGCAAACGAGTAAGCCTAAGCAAAGGGGATGACTCAAACATCCGCGGAATGCCACCGAGTTTTACACCGATGCTAAGTGTAGCTCCTTGCATTGGGTGTTAAACAAAAAAACAGGTGTTTGTAGCACCCTTGGGTTGGGTTTTTATAGAAACCGCACTGTACTGTTGCTGAAAAAAAGCAAACTACCAAAAACAACAACAACAATGTTTAGAGCTTGGCTCATTGTCGACCCCCTACTCGACTCATCACCCCTCCAGCATGGTGTCCGCCAGCAGCAAGCACTCGGCGCGGAGGCTGCCGAGGGTAAACTCCAGCCACACCTGGTGCAGTGTGACACGCGCCTTGCCTTTGGCAAGCCATGACATGTGGGTATGATTTTGACATGGGGCCCCATGATTTGCATTCATGGCTTACGTCCATCGGCAATCTTCTGAGTGTGTTCCAACTTGCATCACAATCCTGGGCCAGACTCAGACCCCTACGAAAGGTCAACTTGTTGCTAGTTGAAACCCAAACAAAAAATCAAGGACAGGTAAGCTTTTGGCTGGCAATGAATCCACTGACCCACCCTTCTCTCCTCATCACGCAGGGCCAGGCGGGCGCACCAGCGCCGAAGCTGCTCGGAGAGGGGCCTGGGAGCTCTAAAAACCCAGGATTTCGTATTGCATGCACCTTCCGAGACCAGTGGCCACGGGACAAAAAAGGAGTTACCCTGTGTTTGGTAGTTGCTTTGAAAGGGAAACCCCTGCGGAAAAAGAGCAAGGGCACCACTGGATGTCTGGGTCTCAGTTCGTGGAAGTTACACTGGAGTTGACATCACGAGACCTCTAGACAGTCCAGGAACCTCGAAGTAATGTTGTACATGAAAATAGGGATGGTTGTTCTTGTGAGGGAACTGTCAGGAGCGAAGGAACTAGGAAACCAAATCCACAAGACAAAAACAAAAGATGTTGTTGTTTAGAACACCCGCATTGACGCCAAAAGCGAAATGTAAGGACCCGCTCCCCCACCCCCAACACCCCAGACCCACCCAAGCCTTCACCCCCAACCCGCCCAACCACCCCCACTCAAACAAGAGAGACTCCATCGGGGCTTCCCCAATCGCTCCCCCACTTTTCTGCTCGCCCTCCGATTCGAAGAACGGAGCCTGGCCGGAGACTCCGATTCATCCGCAGGGTTACCCAAAACTCATCAATTGGAGCAGTGGAACTAAGATGCCCAGTGGCCATGGGAGGAAAAGGGCTGGTTGGTTGACTTTAAAGGGGAACCCTTCCCAACAAAAGCAAAAAAAAGACTGGGGGAAGGACCCAGTTCTTCTAAGTTCCGTGTTTGTTTGCGGAGTAATGTCAGCTTCGGATGCGAGGAATGCTGCTAGAAATTAACCTGATTCACACAGGCAGCTAATCAACTCGACGTGAACCGTATTGAGTGGTTGTGCTTCAACATGAAGGACCCCCTCCAAAAAGAAAAACCCGGTTCGTTTTGCGTCCTTGCTAAAACACGCCAATCTGCACCGTGAAACAAACACTGGTATCAACTTGTACTTTTTGCTGCCACGCTGGGTGTCAAAGGCCAGGCACAAAATGGAAAGGCCAGGGCACAAAATGGAAAGGTGCAATCTGGACTGCAAGAAGGCCTAAGGGAGCTTCCAAATGCGATCTTTGTCAACCAATTGTGGTCTACACTTTTAAAACAAAGCAGCAACCTTCATGCGTCCGGTCGGAAACTAGAACCGTTCTGGGTCTAATTTGCTCAAATAGATCAAGCCCAGACCTTGTAAAAAGCTCCTCCCGAACATGTTCGGAGTGCAGCCCTGCTACCAACAAAAATGCACATTCATGCACCAGCAATCCTAATTCTTTCAGCAATGGCACGCAGTCCAGCCTCTGCCGAATGCTCCTGGCAATGCGCAGCAACCACTTGTAGAGGGCATCTCATAGGGTACTGGATTTCAAAGGGGACCCCCTCCAAAGAAAAAATAAACCAAAGGCCACCGCTGGATAGGCACACATAATCTGTTTTTTCCCTCCGGGAACTTACGCTTCAGAAATCCACTCTCCGATGTGCGGAGATAGATCTCTGGAAACATTCGAGGGCACTCTGAAGAGATATGGTTCATGCCTCCATTGCTTTCCTGCAACATTTGCCGATGCCAAGGTGATGAGGCAGTCCGCACAAGGTCCATGCGCAGAACTCGGCAATAACTGTGCAGAAGTGGCTATCCCTGCAAGAAGATGCTCAAGCGCACAGGTGGCCTTTTGGGAAAAAATGGCCCTGGTAAATGGAATAAACCCATCTAAACCTGTGCCATCCAGGGTTCCACTTTTTCACTACCCTCAAATGGACTTAAACCCAGGGGTGAGTCATGTACCCCAAAAAGGACACCTTTTTGGTTTAAGTCTATTTGCCGGTAGTCAAAAATTAGAACCCTGGTGCCATCTATTTTTAACCAAACCCTCAAAAGGACCTCGGCGGCCAAGCCGAATCCTGCGATCGCCTCAAGCCAACCCCCCCCCCCCGCCTGACGCTTAGAACGGGGTATGAGGGCATGCAACCTCAGCGCGCTGCCGGCCGTCTCCAAAAGACCATCGAGTACGAACGGGACGTGCGGGGGAGGGATGGCCACCTCTTGGGAAAGGTCCCTTTTGCCCTTGAGAACTGGAAATCCTTTCATAGGAACCCTTTTCAGAGATCATCTCCAAACTGAGAACCCCCTACAGCACACGCAAAGGGGCTTTCAAAAAAGCCCACGAGATCAGTTGAGTCAACGGTTCCAACATCTGACCACGCCCCACTTCTCGGGCGGATTTCCGGGAAAGGCCAGCGGAACTGAGCTCGTGGCCACTGTTTCACAGTGCGAATTTCCGGCTTTGCAGCCTGGCACACCCCGACTTTCTGCGTGGATTGGCCACAAGTCTGCAGTTGTTGGTTTTTCCCACTCAACTGATCTTCCAAAAAGTATAAAGTCCAGGAACTCAGGGAGTGAGTCACTCCTGTCTCCAAAATGGCGTCCCCCTCCGCTCCCCTAGTGTCCCTTTACAAGCCCAAAACAGGAAACTGTCCGTTTGCAACCCCCCCGGGCCCAAAAAGAAACCATCCCCACTTTCTCCCTATTGCGGGAGTCATCCAATCTTTCGTGAGCCAAAGGATCAGCCCACTCTACCGGGCCCCTCCTGCGTCGGAGTTCGGGCTCTTGAAAAGATAGCCTGGCGTGAGCTGGCTGTGTCATTGCCAAGAGCCATTGCTATTGACAATGCAATTGTCATATTGTGGTGCCTGCCTGATTCCACTCCTTCATCACGTTCAAGTGGATGAATCTCTGAATGACAAGTCTTTGTTGATTAGATTGTGATGGTGCGAACGGCCTCTGAACCCTAGCTCCCCAATAGTAGCACAGTGCAAGCCAGCCAGCCGCTCGCGAAAAAACCCCTTTCAAACACCGCAAGTATTGACATGTCACAACCAAAACCGGTGAGCCACACATGAGCCAAGGCCAAGCTTCTCTCCCTTTCCCGGGTCTTTTCTCGGGTCGCCACCAGCCAGTCATCTGTTCCCTGGCCCAACTGGATCTCCCGGCATTGTCAAAGGCGTCGAGCTTCGGGCCTCGGCAAAGCAGAGCAACGGATCGAGCCACTTCGGGGAGTGCTTGTCTTTGCTGCGAAGTCGGTAGGGAAGGAGAAATGGAATGACCCCCAGTCCCCTGAAAGGAAACCACCACTTGGGTGGTTTAGGGGTCATTCCATTTCTCATTCCCTGCCGATTTCGCACCAGCAAGTTGTCCAGTCTCTTCACCCCTTTTCTACCATATTCCAAACATAATGGCTGGCACGAATGTGGAACTCTCTTGGTTGAGCCTGGCCTGTTGCCGGTCAATCACTCTCTTGCGGCCGCCTATTGCATGTGTTTGTTCAACAGGGTTCCTTATATTGTGCAGCATCACCACACCAAGGGAACTCTCTCTCTTTCATTGACAACCAAAGGTGATGTTCGAAGCAACCAGAAAGGAACAAGGCTCAAAGTAAGCCAAACGAAAGCTGCAATACAAATCCTGCCTTGAAGCTCTGCGATTCCAAAGCGCGCGGGCCCGTGGAACCTGGCGACACGTGTCGAGCCTAGAAGCCCGCATGGCTCTCTCAAACTAAAGCTTTGAAAGAGGAGGACGCCGGCAAGCCGGCAAAGTTCCCCACTGGAGAATAGACCAGCAGACAAGCGCCACGTGTATCTGCAAATCAATCGCCCAAACTTGAAGATTGCCAAACAACGCGACGTTGACGTGCTTCCTTGCTCAGACATATCGCAGAAATATGACGCTTCAGCCATACTGTCAGGGACTAAGATTATTTTGGGTGTTGTTGCAGCACCAGAAACTAAAAAAGTCACTTATCCTTATTCTGGAGATGCTCCAGGGACACCAACAAAAACAGCTAAAAAACCAGACAGCCACGAAAGTTTTCTACCACCAGGAGGTCCCAGAGGACAAGCCGCTTGCTTGAGCCCAGGCGCTGCTGGCAGCGGCCATTCTGCCGCGCAGTTTGCCATTGCCCGCTCGGGGAGTCCAGAGGCGTTGGCCTCAGAGAGATGGCCGCCATGGGTCACAAGCCAAATCGTAGCAGTGAATATCCGATTTAATCCAAGCACTAAAGTAGGTTCTAAAATGGGTGAACATAGACTATGTATATCTATATATATATATATATAATGGGTAAAATTCTAGGGGTTGATTCCTTGTCCTTTCTTTTCAACCATCGTCCTTTCCAACAACCGGATCCGTTTTCCTGGGTTTCCGGAGGTTTTCTGGAAAGAAGGATCCCTGGAAAGAATGGGGGAGGTACCCCTAGAAAAATAGACGAAATGGGTGGTGAATTCACCTACCCTAAAATGGGATCCCATTGTTTTTTACCCACAGCCAGATCGGCTGCTGCCCAAACGTCTCTTGATTGCAACCGACTCGGAAGGAAACCCTCGTTTGGGGCCTTGACCTGTGGGAACCCGTTTGAGATTTGTTGTTTTTTGCTACCCCCGGTTTAACACAAGCCCCCATGCGCATCGAAGTTAAATCTGGGGTGGGCTATAGGAGCTTGCCGGGTTGGGGGCAAGAGGCAGTACGCCCTGCAGGCCTGGTTTGCCAGGCTTGGGGTCGGGGTTGATTGCCAGCTCAAAACTAGCATAATTGCACCCAAAAGCAAGCCAACCCGAACCAACCCAAAGTCAACCTTAAACCCACCCAACGGATATCAGTCATTTGACAAGCCTAACCCCAAACAAACCCAAGACTCGCCCTCGTTGCGATCTCAGGCCGCCTCAGTATGTCAATACAGGGAATCAGCGGTTGCGTGGCTTCCGACAGCTTGGAACGGATGTGGCGACTACCAGCTAAGACTAGTAGATCCCATGTACATCTAAGCTCTGTAACATTCTATGTCACTGTGTTCTTCATCTGTTGGAAGCCAAGCTAATGTTGACACATGGCTGTGAATCTGAATGGGAAACAACCTCACAAGTGGTTGATGAACATGAATCCTCACCGAGAAGCTGTCCACCCAAGAGTCCCTTCTTAAAACTGATACCCTCCAGTAAGAGGTTAGAATAAGGGTACCCCTTTTTCTGTGGTCTATTTTAGTAGGGGAACCCTCCCCCAAAAAAAACAAAAAAGTTGGTCAAAGGGCACTACTGGGGGACCTCGCAAGAGTTCATTCCAATTGATACCCTCCACATGGAAGTGCACAGACCCCTGTAGAAAGACAACTTTCCTCTTGCAAAGAGTGGGTGGACGAAATCCGTTTGCACCACGAAATGAAACCATGGTTGAAACCATAACGTTTGGTATTTACGTTGGGGAATCACCATTGAAACCACGGTTGAAACCATTGCTTGGTATTTACGTTGGGGAATCGAACCATAAACCAGGGTTTTTGAGTTCGGTGCGAGAAGCGGATTCATTCCAGGGTTTCTGAGTTTGGTGGATACCCTGTCCACCGCATGCGTGAGGGCCCCACGACAGCCTCTCCAGAGGCGACACCACGCGCCTCGGCTCGGCCAACCCATGGCTCGGGCAACGTGCTGAAGAAAATGCCAGCTGTTCCAAACACAGAGATTTCTACTTGGATGTTCAACCAGCTTAGTAGGTTCTAGTCATGCTTATAAGCGGTTACAAGGGGACAAGCCCTAGTTTCCCAAGGTATAATCTACTTACTAAGTGGGTGACTACGTTCTCACAGCGGGCTCCCTGGGTACAGAAAACGGCCCTGCCCTTCCCATGGTTGCAAAACTGAGATGCTAAGGGCATGGTTGCTACCCGTTCGCAAGGAAACCCAAATGGCAGGAATCCAAAGGAAACCAATCTTCGACCCGGGTTGGGCCATCTTGAGTCTTGGAGCACTGAAAAAATATCGCCCTTCAACGTCTGCAAGTATTGCTGTCCGAGTTGAGTGGTTGCACCCTTCTCTCTCACGCCGAGAAGTTTTTCTCGGGGATGTGATTCAAAAGTCGCCATCCATGCCCAGCTCAGGACACACCACCTTGTAGCGAGTTGCTAGGGTTACAGGTGTGAGTCGCTAAACAGCGACGAGTTAGGCCTTGTGAAGCGCAGATTTTGGGAAACCACTAGGGGAGGAAAGGGAAGCGGGGTTTGCATCCTATGAGGTCACAACTTGGAGCCTCGTTCCTTCTTGTGTTTTTCGCTTTTGTATTTTGTTTTCGCAGGACCCCGCGCTCCATGCTACCACCGCCCGGCCTGCGGGGGGAGGCGCATTTGCGTGCCTAGCGCGATGGCAGGATTGAAGCGGGTGACCCTTTGTACCCGTGGAATCCTTTTGGAGTTGGATTTGTAAGTGGCCGTGACATCTCTGTGCCCAAGTGGCAAAGGTCGTGCAAACAACATATTGAGCAAGATGCACAGCTGATTCCCTCCCCTAAACAGCCAACTGCAGCTGTCCCAATATATACGAAACGTACCATCGGTGGTATCCGTAATTCTAGCTTGCCATATTACGGCTTGCATATCAAGGATCTGCTTTTCGGCTTTGCTGGTACTTTCCTAGCACAAACCTGTATCCCAACCACTCTTTTTTGAGAGGCATCTCCCTTTGGGATGAATGACCATTGGGTAAATTATGCTTTTACTAAGGAAGACTAGGGCATACACGTCATCTGCGTTGTCCTACATTTCTGTGCGTTATGTCTGTCTGCGTGTAGAAATCTATACACCATATATATACATAAATAGTTGTTTATCTGTGTATACCTATGTATATATGTATATATATATATATATCATTTATGTGTGGGTGCAAATTTCTCACACCAAATTGGTGCCAAGGAAGTGGCGCCTTCGGTGGTGCGAACCCCAGCCGGATCCGATCGATCCGATCGATCCGATCGATCCGATCGATCCGATGGCCTGCGGCACTCCTGGGGGAGATGCGGCGCTGCCGGGTTTGAGGGAACCCCCCTGACTTTGGTTGGTTTAGAGGGAAGACCAGAAGGAAACCCCACCTGTTTTGGGGTACCAGAAGAGAACACACCCGTGTTTGCCTGGCAACCCTTGGTGAGGCTCTTTAAAAAAGAAGCAGGACTGCAGCAAGCGATGTCGAACGAATTTGAGGACTCCCAATACAAATAAAGAAATGGATTTAGCAATGTTTCGCTTCCTGGAGCACATCCGATTCTGTTGTTTGGTATTCCTCAATAACCATGATTGGTACCTAGCAAATCTTGTTTATTCATGGGACATCAGGGAACCCCCGTTGCGAAGCGAGAAGTGAGCCCTTCAGTTCCATTCTCCAATGGAAGCAATTGGGCACCACTGAACAGCTAGGTCCGGGTGGTCAATATGTGTATACATATTATCCGTGCGTGCTTCCCTCGAAACCCAAGCAAAAGTCTGCTTATTTAGAAAACACATGGTTGGAGGATGTCCGAGGGATGCGTTTCACGGCAGCAAGGATCTTGAAATCCCACAGAGCTCACAAGGAATGCGGCGAACTTGGAAAACACAACTCTTGGTGTGCGTGTGTCTGTGTGTGTGGTGTGTGTGTGTGTGTTGTATGTGCTGCAAGGTTGCGCCCCATTGGGGAAGGGGGTGTGCCATGGACGCTTAGAGACTATCTCGCAGTGATCCCTCAAAACAATCAACACCTGAAAGAAGGAGGCTGGTGTAGAGTCTGGGAAAACAGGGCACCCTTTTTCGGTTGACTTTAAAGGGGGACCCTTCCCAAAAACAACGAAAAAGCGGCACCGCTGGGCAGGGTATTTGTCCACCGTAATTTCAAGGGGCATTTGGGGTTTGCCAGCGAGGGGTGTTACAGACCTTCCCACTCGAACCGATGGCAGATCACCGCACCTTCTAGCTCACATTCTGCTCGCTCCTTGGCTGCAACAGTGCGTTCTTAGGGCCAGAGCCGAACTGCAAACTCACTTCTGCAAAGAGCCAGGAAATGAGGTCACAATCAAACGGTAGACGGTGAACCAGGCAACAAGATGTGATGTCTTTTAAAACCTGAAGCAGCCACAAGCAATAAGATCTTCTGAGCGACCATGATTAATTCGCTTGGGGTAGCCCTGTTTGTCCAAAACACAATCTACAGGAAAGTAACAACTCTCGGCACGTAACCAACGTGCCTTGTTTGGTTTTTGGTAGACCCGCTGCATGTGTGTGGGTTGTACCAGTCGACCCTCACTTTCAGCGTCAAATTGGCCTGACGACGACGTTCGGGCTCGACAAAGGCCATGCTTTCATGGCCGGCAACGGTCAATAAACTTTCCAGTTAAACATGAGGCCAGACAACTCACAAGGGTGTGGGCCCAAAAATTATCAACTACCATACTCTGAGAGCCAACTCACATCGGGGTACCCCAAATGAAGCCCTGGCAAGTGGACACGACCCCTGGCCTTCCACGCCAGCAGCGTGGCTTGTTCCACCTGGCAAGCCAACGGCCAGCCAATGTGAACCGAGGGCAAAAAAAAACAAGCCCAAAATGGCCAAAGACGGGGCAAGAAATTGCCCCAAGGACTGATTCAGCCTCTTTCTAGCCACAGAAGTGCAGAAGAGGGTTGTGGAAGATTACGTCCTGCTCCCAAAGGCCTCTGCTTCAGACCCATGTTCTGTGCAAAGAGAGTACCAGAAGGGCAAAGGGCAAGAACGTATGTGGCGCTGCCAGCCAGCATCATGCGAATCAGGCCGAGGTTAGACGTTCCGTTAAGGAAAATCACATGAAGTTGGTTGAAAGCTCTCCGAAGAAATAGCGAAAGCTGCACCTGCAGGCTTGGCCGTCTCCGTTGAACCCATATATGAGAATCCCAGCAAACCTCACATGCGTGAAGACAGGCCCTATTGCATTGCATTTGATGGCAACCACGGCCGGGCGTGCGCGGCTCTGAAGGGACATCACGCTCGGCTTCAGCCCCAGATTCGGCCTGACGGAGGCTTTGCATGATGTTGCTTGCTTTCCCGAGCAACTTGATTCCCGAACTCACGGCAATTGAGACTTGCTGCGGCAAACGGACAAACCCAGCTCCAAAAAGGCAGACATATGCCAAATGAGCAACCAACTGAATGCGACAACTCCGTATGCCTGTGTTCGTTGGTCGCGGAACAACTCGGCAAGCACATGATCTGGGTGTCAACATGTACTCTATCGTGAACTCTCAGCAGCGCATCTTTGCCCGCTTGCCTTCTGTGGATTAATCTGCACGGAGTAGTATGCCAGCCCCTCTCCGCAATCTCTAGGGTCAATCGGGTTTTGCCTTTAATGAGACCAAGCATACCTCGATACACGCAGAACTGTAATCCCAACAAACACGCTGATGCTGCGCATGCACAATAAACAAACATCTAATTGAGATGGCCTCGCGCGATCACATGGTCAAGACCCACAGTACAAACAAATACACATTCTAGCATCTGGCCAGCGCTTCTTGAAAGGAGGGACATCTAAGTGTGTCATTTGTTGGAAGGTACCCTTTTGGCTTTGAAACCCACTCTGGAACTCCCTCTGTACAAACTTGCATATCCATGACCATCACCTTTAACAAGAACGACAGCATGTCACGCGCTTTTTCCCGTGGGCGTAGATGGGCGATACTTCTGCCGTACCAAGCCAAGCGACCACAAAACAATTCCAACGCAACAACTTGCTCGTGCGGTAAGTAGGGAATGAGGCAATGAACCTGGGGATTCCCTGAAAGGAAACCACCAGTTGGATGGTTTATAGGGTTCATTCCCACATTCCCTGCTGAGCACCAGAAAAACGAATCTGGAGTTTCCCAAGCCGTTTGGGGATCGATTGGAGCACACGAGCCGAGGTCCGGGCACATCTGGCGACTCCTCGCAAGTTCAATCAGACCCCCCTAGCTCAGAGGGAGGCGAAAGGGGTCGCCAAGTCTGCTCTTACCAAAAGGGAGAAACACAACAACTGAATCTCAAGTGAAATCACACCCAACCTGCCACAACTGCCCAAACCATTATCCTATGTGGCCTACATGTATCCAGCATCAAGCGTCCCCAAAGCCCCCGCAAGAGGTCACTGAAAAGCCTATCCACCATGGCTATTGGGGAGGGCTTCTGGTCATGAGTACAAACTGGTTCTCTACATCAGTCAAGGGTCCTGAGTGTAACTGAGTAGCAAAACCTATGCTGATCAAGCATCTATGTCTAGAAATATACATACACATACATGTAGACGCACACAAAGGAAGAATTACTTCCCATGTGAAAGCAGATCGAATACCAATACTTGATGACCATCAAGAATCCCAACTCCAGCGTGCATCGGAAGATGAAGCCACTACTCATGCAATATGTTGGAATCCGCCAGCAAGAGCAGCCGTCCAGCGCGTAGCTTTTTCACTTCGACTATGCCGAAACAGGTGAGCTTCGAATAGCCCAAGACTTTTCAAGGGCGCGGGAAGGATAGCTCCGAGGCCCAAACTGTACATGCCATCGGCTCAACCTCAAAGCTGAGTACAAGCGAAGGAGATTGTGAGGACATGCGCAACGGCCAATATTCATTGGCATTCCCTTAGCCTTCGTGAACTTCAACATGGGAGTTTGGGTCAACCGCAATCTTCTCTGCCAATTTTGGTGAGTGTGTGTCCTATGTCATCCCCTTGACTGCAACAGTGTGGCAATGCAGTTGTGTTGAGGTGTTCCGGGCGGCTTCCTTCCCATTGACCCTCTACCAGAATCAGGGGTTCAACCTCCCAAAGCCCATCCAAACCACCCACCTCACGGGTTCACTGACCGTTGCTCACATCCTTGCAGGCCAAGGTCACAGCTACAGCTCGCCTGTCGCGAGCCTTCCACTGCCTCCCCCCTCCAGGAGCTCAAAGTGCAGGCGGTCGTGGAAAGTGAGAGCCTGGCAAAAACTTGCGATCGGTGCGAGAGGCAGGGAATGGCTCAGAATGACCCCCCAAAAAAATATATATGGAAAAAACAGCATTCCCGGTTTGGTTTCCTTTCAGGGAATCCCCCCCTTGCCAGGTTCATTCCCACCCGGAAAGAAAAAACCGTGCGCTTTCGCTCCCAATCTCGGGCTTCATCCCTTTGCGTCTTCCTCCCAACAGGAACCACATGTCATGCGTTAGAACTCGGCTTCTCCCCTTTTAGCGGGGGGGGGATCCCCTCAAGACATCAATATCATTTGGGGGGAGGTATGATCTGAGAGCCCAATGGAAGATCTAGAAAATTGAAGCAGTTGCGCACCCGGAAAGCAACGACTATGGGCTTTTGAGTAGCACGCCAACAAGCTCGCCTCGTTCCTGCCAACGGGCAACCACGAAAAGGTTCGCGTAGGACACTATGACTTGAGTCTATACAGGGCTGGGACACATTTTATATTTTGCTTTTTGTGGTTTAGTGGTTGAAATCCAACCACTTAACTCCTAAAACATTAGAATTTTTGCTCCCCTTCCAACGTCAACCAAGCAAGATGCCCCACTAAAAGTGTAGGAATATGCTTCCAGGTAGGAACCGGACGGTCAAACAAACTCATATTTGTGGATGGAAAAGCGAAATCCGCTTCTCGCACCACGAAATGAAACCATGGTTGAAACCATAACGTTTGTTGGTATGTACAGAATCACCATTCCAGGGTTTCTGAACGGTGGTGCAGGATTTTTTCCATCCACAGTATTTCTTTGAGGTAGGAACCCTTCTGATTGCCAACAGCCAACATAGCAACAGGACAACAACAACCATGCTTGGGGCCCTCCAAGCCTCCGACAGGCGACTCCAACAGTGAAAAAGCCGGTTTCACCTGGAACAAAACAACATGGGCCCAACAAGTTGGCTTTTGGCAACTGAGGTGGTCCTTCTCTCTTCTTCTCCCGGCCTTCAGGGGATGCTGTGACATCAATGCGCCGGGATACCCTTCTGCACGCGCGTAGGCATCCTCTGGAGCAGAGATGCGGCCAACTGAAACACCCAGGAAGGCCCGAGGGGAAGAACCCCCGGAGTCAGAAGCTCTCGGTGCAATAAAAGCAACACACCAGAGAACCACTAAAGAACACAAACCAGGACAAGCAAACACTGCGCGACCACCTTCTTCACACAAACAAACATCAAAAAGCAAGCAGCACTAAACCACAACCATTTTCAACGCAGTGTTATTTTCACAAACGCCATGAACTCCAAGTAACCACACTGCACCCCCTTTGGCCCAGCCCGGTCCTCGCACAACCTCAGGCAAATGACCAGAATGGGCAGTAGCAGCAGAATCACCGTGCCGAAGGCGCTGCTGCAGCTGGAACTCTGACACCTATCGCTAGGGCAGAATATGGCTGTGGGTCAAAATCGTTTTGGCCCGATCCCAGTTTGGGTAGGTGCACCACCCATTTTAGAACCGATTTTAGTGGGAATTGAATCGGATGTTCACTGGGGGTACGATTTGGATTTTGACCCATGGCCATATCGCACCACCTAAGAAACCCCGGTTTCTGATGATTCTCCTGTAAATACCAACAAACAACGGTTTCAACCATGGTTTCAAAGTGGTGCGAATTGCATTTCGTCCATCCACAGTATGGGAGTCTCCAACTGGGATGTGGACCCCCGCTTTGGTTTCCCTTCACAACCATCCCAACAATGGTACCTCAAAAACCGCAAATCCGTACATTCGAAGTGGGTACGTGTGGTTTTTCTTTAACGAATAGGGACTAGCGGCTTTTCTTTCGGCCTCCCATTTCTCCAAACTGAAAAGGGTAGTGTCAGGAACCAACCGCGCCCGCTGCCAAAAAAGAACCAGTTCACCCGTCCCAAGCTTCGGAGGCCCGAAATCCCGGAAGGTTTCGACGTCGTTGCAGTGACGCCCAGCGCTACCTATCCGCAACCTTTGAGACAAAGAATGCTGCGGCCATTTCAGCTGTCTGAGCCAATCTTGGGCAGTTCAAACATGAAATCCACTTCCGCAAATTTGCGCTCGGTCCAAAATCATTGAGACACAACATGCCCGAGTCAATCCCCGCCCCCCCCCGCCGGCTTTCAGGCTCCCTAAATTTCCCACCCCCCCAACCTAGACCTCTCCTCCAATCAGGGGCTCCTTAAAGGAATCGTCCAAACAACCGCGCAAGCGGATACTCTGAATCAGCCTGAGTTTTTCCGTGGCCCAAAAGAGCAGCGCCACCCAGACATTTGGTCCAACCAAAATGGTCATTCCGGTATGCGCCGTACCACAATCCTTGATTCAAAACAAGGCACTAGAACCACCTGCTGAAATGAAATTTCCCTTTTGAAAACTTTTGGGCGCTGAAATGGGGCAACCGTTGAACCCCCTTCGGGCCCATCGAGCCCTTGGGTCGCTCCGCTCGCTCCGCGGGCGCCTGGACCAGCTGTAGACCACCCGCACCGCCTGCCGCCTTTGAGCAAGGGCCAGCGCCTTGCGCGCCAAAGGCGACACCGGCAGAGGCGCCTGAGCTGCCCGAGGGGAGGAGTTGGGCGAGGCGCCCGGGCCTTCGCAAGAGGCTTCCCGAGATTTCCCTCAAAAACGTCACCCCCAGAGGAAATGAGGTTTGAAATGACTGAAACCACCAGAAAGGCAAGATTGCGGAGTGACAATGTGCTGACCAAAAGCATCGATTTCTGTGGTCGGCTATATGCGTTAAACAGGGCCATTTTGGTCTTTGTTGGTTTCAATCGTCCCTGGGAAGAACCATCATTCATGCAGAACCTTAACAGCGCATGCTTCCTCTGAGTGGGGCCTCCATAGCTTTCATGCGGAAAGAAAGGATCAACATGGTCCCATTTCCGACCTGGACGGTTTCCGCAGTTCGCAGGTCTTTGTTCCGCAGAAAATCGACACTCGTTTGTTGCGGTTTGTGGCCATGAGCCTTTTGATCTCATCTCTCCGGTGGCTTGCTGTTGCGCAGGGAACGAGAAAAAGGTTCTTAGACCCTTTGTAGGTCCAATGGAAAAGCCATCTGGGTGCGTCTTTTTTTAGGGGGCGAACAAAATGGTGGGGTTCCTTTCAGTTTTCCTTTGAAACCGCCAAAAAGAGGCACCCCCGACAAAAGACACGCCCATTTGTTTCCAAAAGGTCTCTCCTTTTGGGCGATGCGGTCACCATCGACTCCCCGCCTCAACAGAAGCAGCTGGCCAAAAGGCCGAAGAGACCCATCTGGCCAGCGGCCCACGTCTCCGCACGCTGAGGATCCTCAGACAATGGGGAAACAAACCGGGTAGAGCTCGAAAGGACACCTCCTCCAAAAAGAGGACAACCAAGCATGATAAGAGAGGACAACCATGCCAATGGCTACTCGGTGTCACTCACTCTCAATCTCAGGAAAGAAAATCAGGCGCCCCAGGTGTATCTACTCCTTTTCATTGGCTTCTAAAAGCCTTGTCAGGGTCAATGGCCAAACTGGAAGAGACGGGACAGTTGTTCAAGAATGAAAGGGATTCCCGGAATGGACACCTGCTGTCTTGGGGTGCCCAGGACACCGGGGAGCCATTCGCAAGTGGTGGGCAGCAATTTTTGGAGGATTGTTCTCCCACCCGATCGGGTCCAGACCCAAGGCTGCGTTCCTTCTTGTGGGCTCATCCGAATTAGGTGTCCGAACAAACTGGCCAAGGCTGGTAAGATTCTGACAGGGCGCATTGCATTTTCCACCCTATTGTGCAAGTGGAGGGGAACTGTCTGTACATGACCAACCGTCTTTAAGTTGCCATAGTTATACCTGCAACATTTGATCCTTGCCCAAAAGGGACATGTGGTTGCCGAGGATCTTATTGTCGCCATCGGGCTGCCCTGCGAGTCATAGAAAAGGAGCGAAACATGCGCAGGTAGCAACAAGCAGGCTCGAGAGCCCGACACAACATGATTCCGTTGCTCGAAAGCAAGAATAGTCTTGAACAGCGCTCTGAAACCTTTCCTCTCAGAAGAACTTCAGGGCTTCTGGTCATAGGAATCTGAAAACCTGTCAGGGGGCAACGCGGGTTGCCTCGCTTGCAGGTGAGCAAGCGCCCGCTTTCGTTCAACCAGGCTTTTTTTGCACGCCCGAGCTCTGCGGCGAGTCCTTTTTTGCTCCCAGAACCGTGCTAAACCTGCTTCATGAGAGGAGGGCGTGGTTTTCATTACGTGGCGTTGGTTCTTCACAGCCATGTTTGATTTGGATATGGGTCAATATTACAGCACCAGGGGACCGCAGGTTTTGGTCCATGTTTCCACTTACCAGGGTTCCATTTTGGGCACCTATTTTTGACCCACAGCCATTTGTCCTTGGCGTTCTTCGCCCTTCCAACTCCGCGGGTTCCCCCGAACGCCGATTTCCAGGGGGGGACATGGGATCGATCCAGCTCGCTGAGAAGCCGAAGGGCCCAGCAGCCAGCACGGCGCTGCTGGTGCCCAGACTCACCTGGATTTGTTTGGGGAAGCAAAAAGGACCTGACGCCCCAAGTTGGAGTCTCTGGTTGCTACTCGACTTGCGGACTCCCTCACAAGATAGTTGCAAAAGCACCGCGAAAACCACAAGCTGTCGTGGGACTCTACAAAGCGCCCACAGGCCCACAGGCCCGGAGCTTGTATAGAAGCATGCTTCGTTTGGTTCCTTCTGGGTATTCGAGCCCCTCAGCCACCCAAACACGGCATGAAACATGGCAAGCGACTGGCCCTAAGGAAAAGGACCGCTCATTCATGGACCACTTGACAGGGGAATATCAATCAGGGGGCAACACCAAGATTTATGGGTGAATTCAACATCATGTGTTGCTTCATGTGACACTGTCCACTCTTGGGCCCATGGTTTCCCATGGGCTCGTGCAAAACTGTATATTTTCAGCCTCTACGCACCTGTAAAGCCAGAATAACATGGCACCCACGGGAATATTCCAAGGACAAAACAAGACGCAATGCCACTGGACAAGTATTGTCAACGCTGACTGCCGTGATGTAATGTCTATATTGATGAAGCGCATACATGTCAACATGGACCTTTTTCAGCCATGGTGCTACCTTGGCGCTGGCCAATCCCTGGTTGTCTTTCGCTCACTGCGGAAAAGCACTGACTAAAACTGAACCTGATAGCGTCAGCGTATCTACTTTCGCGCACGGGAACCAGGGGAGTCAAAGGCTTTAGGGTGGGTAAACCGGTGGTTTGGAGGATTTCCTGCGAGCCAAACCTGTAAACCGCCCGGTTTCAAAGGCAAAACACAAGGAACCAGCCGTCGGCTGGGGAAAGTGCAATTTTCAAACAACCCCATATCCAATTGATCCGAAATGACGTTCCCCACATCGCAAAGATCGGACAGAGAAGTTGCTTTGCTTCCTACCGGTGAGTTCACGGAATGACCTGACCCTGGCCATGGGAAGGAACACGCACTCGTTTTTGTTGCTCCAAAACAAGGAAGTTCACAAGCACCAAATTTGGAGGGTGAAGACCAAAAATGGCGCCCCTCGCTTTCTTGAGCTCCAAAACAAGAAAAGAAGGGCACCAGGTGGTCTGGGCATCTGCCCGCTATCCGTCCTCCACGGAGTCCCCAGAGCGCAGATCCCGGAACCGCGCCAGCGCCGGGGGCAAGGAGTACCGCCGCCTTTTTTCTCCCAACCGCTGCAGTGTGCCCTTTCGTTGGCCTGCAAAACACCCACAAAAGGCCCCCCCTCCAAAAAAACGACACGTTTTGGAGTGCCCAGCTGGAGTGCCCACCTTTGGTTGCCCAGAGAGTTTTTTGGTACCTTTGAGGAGTGAACGACCCCTTTTTACCCCCTAAAAGCCATCCTCATGAGGTACTTGGACCCCAAAACCAAGCCAACACGTTTTCTTGGACTGCACCCAGGTTCACCCTGGCTTCTACGGAAACCAGCGGAAGCCCCACGCATTCTGGTGTCCCCTTATAGACACGTCGTGAATCAACGGTCCAAGGAAATTGGCCCTGTTATGGAAAATACTTTTTGCGGAAGTAGGCCCAGGTTTCTTGGGAAACATCAGGTTGCGTGCAAAGCAACGCCCTTATATTCAGAAATCCAAGCCTTTGGTCTGGGCTCCTGCTGACCTTCGAAACCCTCCAAGTTGATTTTCACGTTGATTACGGTCGGAAAAACGCGCCACCTTCCCTCCTGCCAAGCATGCAGTTGCGCCGGAAAGTGTGTGCAACCCTGTGAAAGCCCAACTTCAATGCCAATACTATGAACCTGAGACGGTTTCGCGCGAACAAAGTGGTGCAACGCTTGAATTGAAAACCCCTTCCTTTGTAGCGAAACGGGAGGGTGTTCACACCAGGTTGAAGGTCTCAAGTTGTGATACCTTTGAGAATGCATGAGACCTCATGGAATTGCATTGGCAAAGAGTAGCAAAGAACAATCGGCGGAGAAGGATGTCAGCCAAACATAGCAAGCTGGGACAAGCGTTTAGAAAAAAAAAGGTGTCTAGTGCGCAACACCAAGCGATGAGCAATACCGGTGCGCCAGAAATCAGGAGGCAAGTCACAGCTGGGGTGCGATCATCACCGCCTTCTCCTCCTGGGCTCCAATTGCGCACGCCAACCCCTCTTGTGCTGGCTGTTGCATGTTGCCCGCACGTTGAAACAAGCGGAAGCAGCGTGTGAGTCAGCCCCTCTTCTTGTCGCGGCTCAGTTGGCCAACCATTTTGAGCCACGTAGAAACAGCTCGTCTCAACGTCTTCGCTTGAATTTCTCTTTGAACGGATCCCCCACGACCGGCGCGCTAGATCGGCCCACCCTCCAGGAAGGCCGAGGAAAGCGAGATCGATCAAGCTGAGAGGCAGCGATGCTGGAACCCGGCTCAGCCTGAAATGCCAAGTGAATAATAGTTGATACCATACAAACTAATACACCAACCACAAGAAAAACTTATAAATTGTGGTCCATTTAAGGAAGAGTATGATAAACTAAATAGGTAGGGGATGCACTTAGCTTGAAGCAAACCCAAGCAAACAAGCACCGCACCCGCCTCCTGGCCCCCTTATTGCAAGGTAGAAGCGCGCAAACACCCCATCCTCACCCTCTCATTCCCATCATCCACGCACCCTCATGCAGCTCTCAGGGGTCGAAATGCGTAATTTCGCAATGAAAGGTCAGTGAAAAGGAACAGGAACACTCATGGGTGAGTGCACGCAATTCGTTCGCGGCATCTGCGGAGAGAGCATGATACGTTGGCTCCCCGAATGTAAAGCAAGTGAAAAAACCATCAATATTTTTAAATGGTATGAGCAACTTCTAGGGCTCTCAACTGCAACAGCATAAAATGGTTTCCCGACTAATTACAAACAATTACAGGGCTTACCGCATGCCGGAAGGCATAGGTGTTTGGCCTGCGTGGGGTTGTTTGTTTTTCTAGGAATTTCCAGGTCTTTTTGGGGGAAAAACCGCCCAACCAAGTGCCAACAAACTTGGTTGCTGTTGACCCCCCTGCAAAAAGTGAACATATATGGGGGGTTTAGTGGAAAACCCAAGTTGATTTCAACCAAAACCTTAAAGTCTAAAGATCCGGTGCCCAGTAGCAGTCAACAAAACCAGCGGCGCTTGAGCCTCGCTTGCGTCAAGTATCGCTGAGATTGCGGAGCTGCTGCCATTGGCCTCGGCAGCGAGGCAAGTGATCTGACTCGCAGCTGGTTGCCATGTCTTTTTCATCCTGGCTAGACCCTAAAACTAGAAGGTGTTAGTTCTTTGAGAAAAAAACAAATGTAGTTTGTGAGGGGCTTGCTTTAAGGATGAGGGAAAGCATCCATTTGAGGTGGGGTCCCCAGCTATTGGGCCCAGGCAAGAAAGAAAGTCCTGTGGTACTCAATTGGGTGGAGCGAGTCAAGACTAGGTGGCCATGGTGGGATGGTTGACAAATCGAATGCCCCAAAGCAACGGCCAGCCACTCAACCCTCGCACCCCAAGCAGAGATCAAGTTTCCTGGTCCCCTGGGCCTTGACGGAAAAAGACATCCTGAGCCATATGCACCTCCCTTGACGGAAAACGAAAAACGGGAAAACACACAGCCACAGAGAGCGTTATGTTGGGAGCCGAAAGCACAACATGAGCAACAACCGCTTTGTGGCTGGAGGTCTTCCTTTGGTTTCCCGCTAAAGAGGTTCCCGCAAAAAATGGGTGAGCAAAAGGTCCAAGCACATCTACACACGAGTTGCCCTTAGAACTTGAAGGAAGGGCATTGGGATAAAACACCAATCACCCCTCAAATATGTAAAAAAGGTTCTACAGGTTCAATAGGGTCACACCCACGATGTTGGACCTCGAAGCCTTTCGTCAACGGAAAGCCAAAAAGGACACTCTTCCCCTTGGGTTTGGACCCCCCGCAGTCAAAGGAAAGCCAAACGGACACCCTTCCCATTCCCATTTCGAGAAACCAAGAATGACTCGGTTGCTTTCTGCTCCCCTTTTCAAGAGCTTAACTTTTAGTGGTTTAATGTAAAGCCCATTAGTTGGCAAACAAGTAAAGTCCAAAAAACAAAATGCAACAAAGGGTTCCCTGTTTTGAAGGAGAGAGGCTTACATGAGCCCCTGAAGTGGCTGAGAAGGGAACAAAAAGGACTCCGCCTACCTGGAGTCCAGGAGGGAGAGACTCCTCTGACCCCACCGGAGCCGAGCTCAGCTCCGCGCCTGCGAGCTCTTCCAAGTCCACGCTGGCGACGCTCGGCCATGTCATCCGACGCAGGGCCGCGTGCCGCGCCAGCGTCTCCGCCAGGCGGAAGCAGTGGCCCTCCTGCGGGTGTGTTTTGTGGACATATTGGGTGTGGCTCAAAATTGAACAGGAGGGGGTACGCAGGTTTTGGTCCATGTTTCCACTTTCCAGGTTTGATTTTGGCACCGGCTTTTTGAGCCACAGCCATATGGCTAGGGCCTCCAGTAGAGAGGTTAGAATAAGGGGACCCATCTGAATATCCTGAACTCTGATTTGAACTGGTCAGATATGGTCATGGGTCAAAACCCAAATCGTCCCAGTGAACATCCGATTCAATCCACCCACTAAAATCGGTTCTAAAATAGGTGGTGCACCTACCCCAAAAGGGTACCATTGGTGTTGACCCACGGCCATATGGACCCCAGGACCCGAGTGGTCTTCCCATAACATTGACAAACACGTTCAAACAGGTCTATCTCTGAGTTTTTTGTTTTGAACAATTGCAGCCGACATGAAAGGATCCAAGGCAAACTTTGAAACCTACAACCGATGGCCAGCCTATGTGCCTCAAAGTGATGACAGCTCATGTCACAGCGAAGAAGTCTGGGGGAAACCCGGCACCTCCCAAGCCAAAAGACAGATGCGAGGAACCAGAGATCTTGAAGGGGCCGAAGCTGCTCAGTTGGGAGAAATCCGCCGACAACAGGCGCCGTGTTGGACATAAGAAATGCTCCTTACCTCTTTACCTGTTACCCCTCCCCTAACCCCTCCCTAGGGGCAGCATTTCAGACTGTTGCGGGGGGGGGCGGACGCTTCACCAAATCTGTTCATTGTGCGGGCTTGCGCAACTCAGTTTGTCAAAAACATTGGGGTGTTCGATTCCCCCCGGGTGCGCTTTCGCATCCTTAGCAGCTCCAGCGGCACATCGCCAGCATCACCTGCATCATCCGCATCAGCGCCTGCCAAGGATGCGGATGATGCAAGTGATGCTGGGGATGTTGCCTATGCTGGTGAACCCCCCCCCCAGTTCCTTGTTGAGATCATTTATTTCCCCCCTTTTCCTTCTAAGGCCTTTTCCCACCCTCAGTTCTTCTCCCTTTTCCTCCCAAAGATCTTTCCCCCCCTTTCCTCCCTAAGTCCTTTTCCCTGAGTTCGTCTCCCTTTGCCTCCCTAAGATCTCTTCCCCCCTTTCCCGCTTAAGATCCTTGCCCCCGTTTCCCCCCTAAGGCCTTTTCCCCCCAAGATCTCCACCCTTCTCTTCCCAAAGTTTTTTCTCTCTTTCCCTTTGAGATCCTGTCCCCCGATTGCCTCCTGATCTTTTCCCCCCTTTCCCTTTAAGGCATTTTTTCCAGATCTTCTCCCTTTTCCTCCCTAAGATCTTTCCCCCCTTTCGCTGTTGAGATCCTTTCCCTTCTTCAGGTCCTCTGAGTTGAGATCCTTTTCCTTTCCCTCTTCTCCCTTTCCTCCCTAAGATCTTTCCCCCCCCCCTTTCCCTGTTGAGATCCTTTCCCCCCTTTCCCTCCCAAGGCCTTTCCCCCCCCTGAGAGCTTCTCCCTTTTCCTTCCTAAGATCTTTTCCCCCCTTTCCCTGTTGGGCTTCCCCCCTAAGTCCTTTTCTCCCAGATCTTCTCCCTTTCCTCCCTAAGATCTTCCCCCCCTTTCCTTCCTAAGATTGTTTCCCCCCTTTCCCTGTTGAGATCCTTCCCACCCTTTCCCCCTGAGGCCTTTCCCCCCCTGAGAGCTTCTCCTTCCTTAGATCTTTCCCCCCTGTCCCTGTTGGCCTTTTTTCCCCCAGATCTTCTCCCTTTCCTCCCTAAGATCTTTTCCACCCCTTTCCCTGTTGAGATCATTTCTCCCCTTTCCCCCCTAAGGCCTTTGCCCCCAGATCTTCTCCCTTTCCTCCCTAAGATCTTTCCCCCCCTTTCCCTGCTCAGATCCTTTCCCCCCTTTCCCCCCTAAGGCCTTTCCCCCCCTGAGATCTTCTCCCTTTTCCTCCCTAAGATCTTTTGCCATTTTTCCCTGTTGAGATCCATCCCCCCTTTCCCCCCTAAGGCCCTTTCTCCCTCTGAGTTTTTCCCTTTTCCTCCCCACGATGTTTTCCCCCCTCTCCCTGTTGAGATCCTTTCCCTCCTTTCCCCCCTAAGGCCTTTTTTCCCCCTGCGATCTTCCCCCTTTTCCTTCCTAAGATCTTTTCCCCCCTTTCCTTGTTGAGATCCTTTCCCGCCCTTTCCCCCCTAAGGCGTTTTCCCCCCCAAGATCTTCTCCCTTTTCCTCCCTAAGATCCTTTGCCCCCTTTCCCTGTTGAGATCCTTTCCCCCCTTTCCCCCCTAAGGCCTTCCCCCCCCTGAGATCTTCTCCCTTGTCCTCCCCAAGATCTTTTCCCCCGAGATCTTCTCCCTTTTCCTCCCTAGGATCTTCTCCCACCTTTCCCTGTTGAGCTCCTTTCCCCCTTTTCCCCCTAAGGCCTTTTCAGATCTTCTCCCTTTTCCTCCCTAAGATCCTTTGCCCCCTGTCCCTGTTGAGATCCTTTCCCCCTTTCCCCCCTAAGGCCTTTTCCCTGCCTGGGACCTTCTCCCTTTTTCACTGAGATCTTTCCCCCCCTTTCCCTGTTGAGATCCTTTCCCCTCTTTCCCCCCTACGGCCTTTCCCCCCGCTGAGATCTTCTTCCTATTCCTCCTTAAGATCCTTTGCCCCCTTTCCCTGTTGAGATCCTTTCCCCCCTTCCCTTTAAGGCCTTTCCAGATCTTCTCCCTTTCCTTCCTAAGATTGTTTCCCCCCTTTCCCTGTTGAGATCCTTCCCACCCTTTCCCCCCTCAGGCCTTTCCCCCCCCTGAGAGCTTCTCCCTTTTCCTTCCTTAGGTCTTTCCCCCCTTTCCCTGTTGGCCTTTTTTCTCCCAGATCTTCTCCCTTTCCGCCCTAAGATCTTTTCCACCCCTTTCCCTGTTGAGATCATTTCTCCCCTTTCCCCCCTAAGGCCTTTGTCCCCAGATCTTCTCCCTTTCCTCCCTAAGATCTTCCCCCCCCCCCCCGCTGAGATCCTTTTCCCCCTTTCCCCCCTAAGGCCTTTCCCCCCCCTGAGAGCTTCTCCCTTTTCCTTCCTAAATCTTTTCCCCCCTTTCCCTGTTGGGCTTTCCCCCCTAAGTCCTTTTCTCCCAGATCTTCTCCCTGAAAGGGAGACGATCTGGGAGATCTTAGGGAGGCAAAGGGAGAAGATCTCAGGGGGGAAAAGGCCTTAGGGGGGAAAGGGGGGAAAGGATCTCAACAGGGAGAGGGGTGAAAACATCTTAGGGAGGAAAAGGGAAAAAAACAGAGGGAGAAAAGGCCTTCGGGCGGAAAGGGGGAATGGATCTCAACAAAGAAAGGGGGGCAAAAATCTCAGAGGGGAAGGGGGCAAGGGGACAATTCCAAAGGGACGCAAATAAGAAAGCAGGCCTGTAATGTCGGCGGCCTGAGCCGGAGGCACTAAAATTGTCCTTTCTGTGAGCATTCGTTGCTTCCCCTCCCCATGACTACTTTGCCACAATCCAAACAGAATTCCGTTGGCCGCGCTTTGCGCGGCAACCAAAAACCCCAACACCCACCCCCAACCCCCCCCCCCCCCATACTTCCGACGACCATGTTTCGTGCCAACCCGCTTCCTTGGGTGGTTGGGTGAAACGCATCTGAGGACCCAGCATGAAGATGGACATCTTCCAGCTTTCGTAGAGCAAAAAGCAGCGATTGCCGCACCTACCCCAAATCCCACGGCAATGTCGGCAATGGTTGTGGGAGTTTGCGCCCGCTTCGCGCCAGTTTTGTCCTTGCCAAGTTCCTACAGCTCGGAGGTTGGTTCCAAGTTTGTAAAATCGGACATGGGTTGGGGCTGGCAGGATTTGAACCTGCAACCTGCAAGGTCGGGGCGCGCTGCTACTGTGCCACAGCCCCGTTCACAGCAGATGAGAAAGTCCTCCCTTTAAACGTATTCAAAATACACAAGGCGGTTCAGTTTTCTCGTTTGCTTAAGAATCAGAAATCGGGAACGTAGGTATGATGACACCCCCAGTGAGTCCAAGACCACACGCACCTGTGGGCAGAGCTGCAGTAGCTCTGGCAGCTCCGGCAGAGCGAAGAGCGCGATCTCCAGATGCAGCCCCGGGTTCAGCCGGCAGCACATCAGAAACGAAACCAGTCGGATGATGATGTTTGGGGGGTTGCTCAGAGGGGGGGCTTCAAGGGGGGCTTTTAGGGAGGCTTTAAGGGGGAGAATTAAGGGGGGGCTTAAGGGGGGCTTAAGGGGGGGGCTGAAGGGGGGCTTGGGCGGGGGGGGGGGTTAAGGGGGGCTGAAGGGGGGCTTAAAGGGGGGGCTAAAGGAGGGCTTGAGTTCCTGAGAATCAGCAAGTGCTTGGAGTCCTACATCCATGCATGGTTACTTGGCTGTGGGACAAAACCAATGGGATCCCATTTTGGTTGGTAGGTGAATTTACCACCCATTTTAGAACCTATTTTAGTGGGGATTGAATCGGATGTTCACTGGGGGTACGGGATTGTGACCCATGGCCAGATTCTCTTGGACTGAAAAGCGTTTCTGGGGCCTAAAGAGCTGGGTCGCGCAAGCAGAAGATCTAGCAACTTTTAGTTGGTTTCATTCGGAAAGCCCTTTCCAAAACGTTCAAGAGCCCAAGGACACACCAAACACCAGCCATGAGAAACTCTCGATTAGTTTCTTGCGACGGGGGGCAGCAAACCAAACTTGGAACGCTCCTGCTTGGGCGAAATGTTGAACATCAGCTTTGCTAAGACTATGCAACATAGACAGAAGTTCTGCATTTGAATCCAGAAAGCTTATCCCTCAACAAAACGTAACTGAGTGCCTCAAACCCGATGAATCAAAATAATTCACGACCCAAAAAAGGAGCTCCCTTTGTTGCCGTGCAGATGTGGAGCCGCCATAGTTTGCCCAACTGCAAACTTGCACTCTGCTGTAGCCGCGGAGCGGCCCGCGCGCAACAAAAATGCACATGGAACGAGTCAAAATGTCAAAACTGGGCACTTCGCGTTTGGTCTGTGGGGTGTGGTCTCAGAACACCAAAACAACTTCAACCATGCAACCAAGTGTCCTTAGTCTTGATACATAAGCTGATGAAATAAGTAATTTCTTGACTGTGGTCTTACTTGGCTGCTGTCTGCAACCAAACAAGCGCCACACCTGGCACCTATCGATGCTTAGCCAAGAACCTCTGGGACATGACCCTCATTGAGCGTCGCAAAATGTTTGAGACCTTAGAAAGCTAAGCACTCACATGAGCCACCTTCACAGCACCTCACTGCCATGGGCGATGACCCCCGTTAGAGGCTCCAGACAAGGTTGACCCCCCCCCCCAATTTTATCAGACAAAATTGGGTTAGTCCATCCTTATTGGAAAATAACATGAAATAGTCCAACTTTGACAGAAAACAAATTGACAAATCACGATTCATGTTGACCTCATTTTGCGGGATTGGTTTGAGCAGTCCAAGTTGGACAAAACGTACTTCATTTTCAATTTTGGATGAACATAGAGTCAGGGGGTCCAGCTCATGTTTATTTTTGCACACCCGCTTTTTCACAAAATACAGTCGGGGCGGTTCAACTCGGGTGGTTATTTTGGGCTCACCATGGTTTGATTGAAATCGCCATGGTTTCCGTAAGGTTTTGAACTAGATTTTGGTCTTGTGTTTCTCAAAATTGGGTTCGGACCGAATCCTCCACGCAGGCTTCGGTTTCCTTTTGGACCGCACTCCCGCCCCCCCTAAAGTTAACACGGTCCAACTCCACACTGAATATAGGTAGACTTCAACAAAATGCCATGTCCAAAATGTAGTTGCCGCAATCCAACATGTTCCAGGCCTTGAATGGACTTGAACAAAAAAAACACTTCCTGGAAAAGACGCGGGTTGCCTCGTGTTAATTTGAAATGAGTTCGGTCCAACTTTGAAGGGTTTTTCACAGAGGCCAAAATGAGCTTTAATGGAAAAAGGGGGCTGGACTAAAGTAAAATAGATGACTTATTTTAGGATCCGACCCGGCCCAACTTTACTTTGAGCCAACGGTGGCGATGGTTGGCTTCAGCTTTGGGCTTCAGCTGTACAAAGCCTTCGATCTCGATCTTCCACTCCGCGAAGCGGACGCATTGAAACCTTCCCGCCCGGAGTCTCCATGGCCTAATCCCATCTTGAAAGGGTCATGGGACTCCATGGAGACTCACCTCCTGAGTCTCAGTTGTTCAGTGACCCGGACCCCTTTTTGGGGCTTGGACCTTTTTTTGTGGGGCAGCCACCAAAGAAAAGGGAAAAAGGGTGCCGCTGAACAAGTGAGGAGTGGCCACAAAAAGGAGTGTCCCATGAGCCGTCCGCGTGTCCTGGCGAACAGAGGGCGCCAACCTCTTGGCAATGGTGCTAGCCTCGCGCAGCTCAAACCGGGCCCCGTGTCTCCGTACCAAGAAAACCCACCCCAAAAAGGGTACGAATAAGAGGTGGGGGGATATCACCCCCTGATGAAACGTGTTTAACCACCCCTAAAATTTAAACACTCGTAATTCAAGCAACCTCTTTTCAGCATACCTTCTGAGTAAACGCCATTCGCCCCACTCAGAGCATTGGAATCAAGATTCAGCCGGGTGAATCAGAATTACGGCCATGAGATGTTGTGAGCAGAAGAATCGAATGATGTTAATTGCTAGTACATTTTACAAACCCCGAGAAAAGGGGGGTTCCCGCCTTCATCCGCAAATCACTTAGTTGTGCTTCTTGCGACGTACTACCCACTGGGCGATTCAACAGTGTGCGTGTACTCATCCATATAGGGTCTGGGACGCATCGACGCAAACTCGCGGCACGTCAGATATGCCAGGATCGTATATGGCTGATGCTGTGGGAGACTGCGGGCTACTGACATCCGACAACTCCTACTAAACTATATACCAGCGCAATCCGTGGATTGTTGACCAACTGACCTAAACAGGAACTTTCAACCAAACCAACCGCTAAAGACAAACATTCTGCCAACCAAAAGATCATACACACGTCCAGCGGGGGCTGCAGGCTCATGGCAAACGGCTTCACTTGCCAAAGCATCGGAACAAGCCAAAGCGAAGCACACACACACAACACCCATTGGACTCCATTGACGTCCATGGCTTCTGTTTTCTTTCTCGAGGGGAAAGGAGGCAAGGCGCTTTGGACTTGCTGGCTATATATAGCCTGTAGAGCTTCCGAGTAAGCTTGTTAGGCCCACCTTGATATCACAAACAAAGTTGCGAACCCCAGTGGGGTTCAGATACCACCATTAAAACAATGGGGGCTCATATAACCACCATTGTTTATCTAAGGATTGTCATCATCCAAATTGGGTCCCCTTGGGCCATTCTTTTCATGGGGGTGTTCGGAACCCTAGGGCCAGGTTTCGGACGAGCTGGAAAAGGGCCCCTACATCGCCCGCACATGCTGCGCCTCTCGCGCCAGTTTTGATCGCCCGAGGAGTAGCCGAGGGCTCGCATGGACCTCCTGCGATGAAACGAAAGCTATGAATCTGGAGTCACCTTACCTTTTGGGACGCTTTTGACAGGAAACATAGAAAACCAAAGCAACCCCCATTTTTTGTTGGGGTGGTCACTTTTCTAAACACACAACTTACCAGGGAAGCCCAACATTTTTGGAGGCCAAAAACACACCCAACTGAGTTCGTTATTATGTATGCGGCGGGAATTCACGTTCGTGAACCAGAGCCAGGGGTCGTGGGCCCCTGAAATTAGGGACTGGCATTGGCTCTTGGTCCAAACCTGTATGGAGGGTCCAATGATGCTTGGGGCAAAGGAACAACTGAAATGTAATAAAGGTGAGTAAAAAGGTAAGAAAGATAATGGAGTACTGAGTATCAAGTTAACCACACGTCAATGTAACACGAACACGGGGCATTGACTGGAACGCCCTTGTCACACGAAGGACTCACACAAATGGCATAGAGTAATCCGGAAGGGACCTCCGCGAGAAGAACCTCGAACTATACCCTTGAAGTACCAAGATTATTACGGCAAGTAAATGCAATCTTCGCTGGATCCATGTTTCAGTTCGCCAGCTCCAACCAAAAACACTCGCTGTTTGGGATGTGCCGAGTCTGCCAATGGCTCCTTGTCGGGCTTCAGGCCGGATGCGCGCTCCTAGCGCGGTCGCTTTCAGGACCCGGATCTCCATTCAAGACCAAAAACATCTTTCCTTTTAGACCGTGCCGGGAACATAGCCACCCGCACCGGTGTTTTGCAGGCCTTCGGTTTTTGTGCTTGAAATTCCATGGCCTTTTTAGACAACTCGGGAGCTCGAAAGTGAACCAACTCTTTAGTCCCGAGTGGATTGGCCAAACACAAGGCTGAAAACTGGTCGTTTGCCACTCAAATGGTCTTCGACAAGTTAAACGTCCAGGAACCCAGGAAGTGAGTCACTCCTGTGCTGCCCCCCCCCCCCGCCCGTTTTCCGGTGTCCCTTTACAAGCTTAAAGGCATTTGGGAAGACCAACCCTAGCCTGATGCCTCATGGGTGCGGCGGGCCACCTCTAACTGCACCCGTCACCCGTCCAGCAGCACTCCCTCGATGGTGATCTTGCTGATCTCCGCGCCTCCACCGAGCCCTCTAAAAAATCCTCGGGGAAATGTGGATATATCCGATGAATGCAGGATATGGTACGAATCCCAAAAAAGACACACCAAATGCGGTACACCAAAGGAAAGTACGCCAAATCCTGTTGACCTCAACTGCAGTACATCAAAGGAACCCCCGTATAGATGGTTCTGCCCGAAACTCCCTCTCTTGATCCGGACCGAAGTGCGTATGTCGACTGGCACTACTCAAAATTGCCGAAGAGCAGCTCATCATTCCCTTCCGGTGATGAATGTCTGCATCAAAGGTAGGTAATTGTGACTCAAGACTTGAGTGGCAGTTCCTCAGCAAATGGGAGGAAGGCTACGCCAAACACTTTGGCAAGCGAATGGGGTTCTCGGTGGGCTGCTTTTAGCACACCGAGATAGA